TTGGCCAATGGATTGTTAAGGAATGTGAAAGAAACTGATGTACGATGACCATTCATACATGAGGGCTCTCTTTTGCTGTTAGTAATTTTCATGTACTATTTGAAACATTGGGCTCATCTCATGGGTTAGAGAGCTCATGGACAGAATTCCCAGTTGAGGTCCCAAATTATGAGTGAGCCCAGCTAATACCACATAAAATACATAAGCTTTCCCAAATGAGGTCAGACCACTGAAGCATGAGCAAATAGATGGTTGTGTCCTTAAACCAGTAAGTTTTAAGGTAGTTTGTTTTTGCACTGATAGTTAACGAAAAGAACAGTATTGACTTATTGTACCAACCATGACCTTTCCTAGGATCCAAGCGTAGCATATTTTTAATGGATTATTTAAAAAACTGTGCATCACACTGACTTCTTCTAGTAGCTAATGTTATATAAAATTATGTATTCTTTCATTGGAGAGATTCTGTCTTTATTTCCTTCATTTCCTTCAGTAACTGTAATCTGTTAAATTTAGATATATTTTGTTATCTTTAATTACAGAACCTTGGGAACTGCCACAGTTACTAGGATCATATGTGTAGGAAAGGCCCCAGATGAGCTACATCTGAGTAGAGTAGGGATGGAAAGGACAGGTCCAGATTGTCCCTAACATATGTGATGCCAGTTCAAAAGTACAGGTGGAAGCCCATGTACCATATGTCTAAAGTTTTTAAGTGGTAAGTCAAACTAACAAATTTTTAAATAGATTATATTCTATTATTCCACCCTGACAAATATAACTTTACACCAACCTGTAAGACCAAGTTTGAATTTAGAATTCTTGGCCACCTCAGAGTTTTGCCCTAGAATATGATAGCACAGAATAGCTGGGCCCTGGCCAGGTGCTCACTCTGTTCTCTTCCTTCCTTCAACTTCGACAGCATGTACCTTAAGAGGTGTCATGTACAAATTTGTGGATGCATCAGCCCACATAATTAATCTTGGTCTCTATCCTCCCTTCGATAGCCACACATTAGGTTTCAATTCTAGCAGTGTTCCACTGAGAAAACTGTCAAAGAAAAGAGTCCCGTGAAGGTCCTGGAAATAGGATCCAAACACTCTGGATTGTGAATTATGGCATCCCATGAACTAGGAACATGGATGGGGCTGGGTTACATGTAGGCCTGTACCATTGGGCCCACGTATTCCTTGCATGTCCAAAGAGATGGTGCCAGAGGAGACTCAGAGGCCCTAGAAAGCATGAGGCCCTGGATGGGAAGCTCTCTTTCCTGGGTCTAAGGGTGTGAGTTTCGTTGGGGATCCCCAGCATCAGACCCTGAAACAAGGTCTTGAGAGCAAGTAGTTTGAGAGGTGATCTCAGAAACCATAGGTAAGAGTATGAGAGAGTGAGAGACATCAAGGAGAAGCCAATTCAGGGACTGTTAATGAGTAGTTACCACTATTAACATTTGGGGCTCAGTTGCCCTGGGGATCTCTAGGAGTTCGTGTAGAATTCACTTTAGAGTTATTCCTACCAAAAGTCAAAGATGCTGGTTATTTTTCCACCAATTTGTTACATATTTGTTGAGGACTACAAACACATTTGTGGTCTGATCCATGTGAAGGCTGAGTACCCTCATATGTTCAGAGAAAGCCCTCGGAGAGAATGTCACAGTTTTCCATAAAGCCATTTGCGTACAGGGAGGATTTAAATGCCCAGGATGACCTGGCACGGCATAGACAGTATCTGCTGCAGTGCAGAACTGGAAAACACTTTGAGAAAACATATCCCAAAAAGAGAATGATAGTTTGATGATATAATGTAGCCATAAAATTTCCAAATTTTTAAAAATCCAAATCCTCTCCACCTCTGCTATTTTATATCTTAAGGGAATGTGGATACTGGCTTAATTCAGAAGTGACTTCCTGTTGATAGTTATGATATTTCTACTTATGTTTGTGGCATGAATCAATTTAATGACAATTGTTTTATCACTGTACCTTCAGAAATAAAGTGATCATGGGTGCCTGGGTGGCTCAGTCAGTTAAGCATCTGACTTCAGCTCAGGTCATGATCTTGGGGTTCGTGAATTTGAGCCCCACATTGTGCTTGCTGCTGTCACCACAGAGCCCGCTTAGGATCCTCCATCCCCACCTCTCTACCCCTCCCCCCCCAAAGTAAATAAACATTTTAAAAAAGTGATCATTTCCATGAATTCCACTGTTAGGATGGATTCCTTTTCCAACTGGTAAAGGAGAGAGGCTGGTACTGTGCATTCCTTAAGGTCTTTACTCATGAACATTTCATGACTTGAAAAATGCTCACTTAAGAACGTCCTTGGCTTTCACTTTCACACTCAGTATCATTAAGAAGTCGATATTTTTAGGGAAAAGGGAGTAGCATATAACATAAAGCTTTTGGTAGGATCTTTACACTGGGACTTGTGCATTCAATCATGTTTACTATTAAATAGCCAGTTATTCTCTGTCTTCAATGAGAATAATAATTACTCTTGAGTTGCTTAAATTTCCTATTCTAAGCAGTGTAATTTTATTTAAATTACCTAATCTAAATATTTTCCTTTCAGTCTATTCGTGAAAGAGAACGATGAGGTTTCTTTATTTCTGTTAATAAAGCAACACGTTTTGATCACATGATTATCTCACCTGGTTTGTTCTAATGATGTTGTCACAACTCAAATAATTCTCTCAGAATGAAAACAGTCCATGAATCACTGATGATAAAATGTGACTGGAGTCCTTTTTGAGAAGAAAATTTTTATTCTAAAATTAAATTTGATAGAATAAAAATAACAACATTCTGGCAGCCTTTGTTTTCTCTTTAGACCAGCTGATAATCTTGAACTTTGCTTAGATGTAATATAGATTTCAAATGTGATCCATCGTCAGTGTATTTTAGTATACAATGTATAACACTAACATTATATGTATTATGTATGACACATAGAAATATACAGCATGCAGCATGCTACAGTGCATGTAATTAATATGTTTTTATAGTATATAACACCTAATATATACCACACATATACAAATCCCCAATTCGATTTTAAAATGATTTAAAGCAATTAATGTTCTTGCAGGAGTGACTGATTTTCTTTGCATAAATTTCAGTGTATTTGAAAACAGGTTTGCCGTTTTTAACATTTGAGGTGCTAAACGTGAATGAATTAAAATTATAGCTAATTGATGTCATAATACTTATCTGGTCATTGGTTGATAAGCTTGATTTGTTTTCTTGGTTTCAGAAAACTTTCTAATACAGAACTAGGCTTTAATCATTTTTTTATCATTTCTTTTTTATCTACTACTTAAATACTTTGCCATTAGTGGGGAAATTTATGTTATATTCTTATACTACATCCTATTTTAGTGTCATGAGATTTCTATTTATTTTATAAATAAATTTTTGTATATTTTATTTATTCATCTTCATATCATGGAGGATGGTGAGCTGCAGAGAAAAAAACTAGTGTTGATTAGAAAGAAAAGACAAGCATAGAAGCCTACCCACCATTAAACTGCTGTTAACTGTTGACTCAAGGTTAATGGCATAACAAGGTGATGTGAGAAGTATTATTTGGGCATGCCTGCTTCTGCTTCCCTTGGTTTTTTAACTATGGAAAAATTATCTCAACCTGCTGGTCAAGCTGCAAATTATTTTGATTAGTATGGAACAGAGTATCCCTAAGTCATAGAAATGTGGCAGACAGGGACACCTGGGAGGCTCAGTTGGTTGGGCATCCAACTCTTTATTTCAGCTCAGGTCATCATCCCAGGGTCCTGGGATCAAGCGCCTCATTGGGCTCCATGCTGAGCATGGATCCTGCTTAGGATTATTTCTCTCTCCCTCCCTCCTTCTCTCTCTCCCTCTCTCCCTCCCTCTCTCCCTCTCTCTCTCCCTCCCCCTCTCTCCTGCTTGCACACACTCTCTCTCAAAATAAACTTAAAATAATAAATAAATAAATAAATAAATAAATAAATAAATAAATAAGAAATGTGGCAGACAATAATGCTCACCAAATATTCCACATATCTGTCTTATTTCTCAGTCTCCATTCAGTTAGATAGAGCTATGGGTTTGATTCTGACCAATTAATTGGCCCTTGGAACAATACAGGTGCTAGGAACAACTCCCCCTTGCACAGTCGAAAATCCCTACTTTTGAGTCCCCCAAAACTTCACTACTAATAGCCCCCTGTTGGCCAGAAGCCTTACCAATAGCATAACAGTTGATTAACACACATCTTGCATGTTATATGTATTGTATACTGTATTCTTACAATAAAGTAAGCTAGACGAAAGAAAATCCTAAGGAAGAGAAAATACATTTACAGTACTTTCTTATATTTATTGAAAAAATTCTGTGTGTAAATGGACCTGCACAGTTCAAGCCTGTATTATTCAAGGGTCATCTGTAATGTGTATTATTTTTTTAATGTATGTTTGTTTGTGTATTTATTTATTTATTTATTTATTATGAGAGAGAGAAAAAGAGAGAGACAGAGAGAATCCCAAGCAGGCTTCACATTGTCAGTCCACAGCCCGACACAGGGCTTAAACCCACAAACTGTGAGATCATGATCTGAGCCGAAATCAAGGATTAGGTGCTTAACTGAGCTACCTAAGCACCCCAATGTTATGTGTATTACTTTTGAGTTGAGCACTGAAAAGCCCGTGAACAAACATCCAGCCACTTTTCTTCCCCTGACCTGTACTTGCAAGTACAGTTGCAAGCTCATGGAATCTTTCACAGCATGGGTCCCTGAGTAGATCTTCCTGTGACCTATGCAAGATATATTCTGTCACTGATAAATAAACTTGCTTATTATGCCCTTGAGATTTAGGAGTAGAGTGTTACTTCAGGATAAGCTAGTTTCTTCTAGATGATACAATATCATTAAATACAATAGTATTACATATTGCTTTACCCCAAAATGAATTTTGGGATTTATGTGATTAAAGATGATTAAGCTATTTTTTAAATGTTTTTGATAGTTGCAGATGGATCCATTCTAGTTCCTTTACGATTTGTTCCTCTCAGTGCTGGACGCTACTCTTGTAAAATTTTGTTGACATCACGGTATGATGTGCGTGTCTATTGCATTGAAGGTATAGTAAATGCAGAAGAACCAGAGGGCAGGTTTGAATTTGAAACGCCAGCATTTGAAGCCCTTACCCAGAATATTCCAGTGGTAAGTGCAAACATTTTTTGTACTTTTTTTCATCCCCACTGCTACTATCTCAATTAAAGTCCTCCAAACCTTCATCTTGAACTAGTAGAATTTCTAATTGCGTTATCTGCTGCCATTTGTTTTTCCACGTTGATGACAGGAATTTGTATTCCTGAATATAAATGTTACCATGTTACTTCCCTCACTAATCACTTCCATTGGATCTCATTCCTTAAAAAATTAACTCTAACTTCCTTAACTTATCATCACATTCCTACTCAAAAGGAATTCCTGGTTCCACCAGGCAGAGTAATGATCTGCCTCCAATCTCTCTACTTCAAATTTGGTTGTGATCCTCACAGTTGAGATGGGTTCATGGGCACTAAGAACAATGACTGTAGCTTGGCTATCAAAGTGATACTACAGCATAGAAGAAGGTTATATATTTGTAAGGAATGTTGAATTTTCTAGACTAGAAATTGGTTTTTGTTTGTTTAATTATTAAAGATATAACAAAAGTCTACTCAAAGCACAGAAATTTGTTCTGATGGGATATATAAGCTTGGCGATCTGAGCAGTCTGCCAGAGAGATTGCCCATAATTAGGAGAAGAATGTGTGATTCTAAGACCATTTTATAATTTTAACAATAATTAGTAAGTTAAACAAATATTTCCTTAAATATTAAATAACCCATGAATCAGCCTATTTGACATTGAAAGCATAGTCATGCTCATGCCTTATGTTCACATTGTTGATAGTTGTTCATAACAACTATGACTTTCAAGCGGTAATTTTTCTGAAATGTAATTTAAAATATAATATATAATTTTATTAAAAATACCAAGAACTAATATGTAACTCAACTTCATCATCATCATCCCTCTGACATTTTTCTACTTTTTTTTTTTCACGCTTTAGAATAACAAAACAAAGAATGAATGGAAATGTCAAGTTACTATAGAAGGAGAATGGTTTTATGGACCTTCTGTTTTATATGTTGGAGCAGGTGAAACTGTGCAGTATCCTCTCACATTCAGACCTATTTTGGAATGTGAGATTATGGTATGAACTCATTGATTTTTTTCCCTAGTATTAATAATGTCTATAAATTGATGTATGATATTAACATGTCTAATTTATGATAAATCTTCTTGCAGAAAAGTTATATCTTCTATGATTTTGATCATCAGTATTCACTCTGCTTGAAACCTTAATAAATGTTTTAACTTGAGGGATAAAATTTCTGAAATTCACAACGCCCCTGGCTGCCAATACTTAATGTCTAGATTATTTTTACACAAAATGTTTAACAAAGTAAAATCATTGTTCTTCTGTTTTTTTAAATTTTTTTTTCAACGTTTTTTATTTATTTTTGGGACAGAGAGAGACAGAGCATGAACGGGGGAGGGGCGGAGAGAGAGGGAGACACAGAATCGGAAACAGGCTCCAGGCTCCGAGCCATCAGCCCAGAGCCTGACGCGGGGCTCGAACTCACGGACCGCGAGATCGTGACCTGGCTGAAGTCGGACGCTTAACCGACTGCGCCACCCAGGCGCCCCTGTTCTTTTGTTTTTATTCATTAATGTAGGGGGTACTTCAGAGAATACTTTCTTAAGACATATTCCTTTGACAAGGACATAAAAACGTATGGAATTGCTATGTACAAGAAGGCCTATATAAACTCTGTCATTTAGAGAAAGTCCAGAGAAATACAGAGCTTTCACAGGAAATTCATCTTTATTCATTCAGTAGAAGTATTTAGACATAAACCGGAAAAGTCAATGACTGACACCTCCTTGACAGCTCATTTCATTAATCAGATTCAAAGTTAATCAGATAGCAGAGATTGTTGGGCATCCGACTGTGACTTCTATAGTGCTGAAATTTGGGTGATTTGTCACAGGGCAGACTTATTGTGCAAAATGAAGCAGATGGTATGGAGTATGTCTTTGACATAAAAGGGATTGGAAAAAGACCGCTGGCCTTGGAACACATCATTATAAACTGTCAAGTAGGAGAAATGACAAATAAACCCATAATGGTGCCCAATCATACAAAGACCATCCAAACATTTAAGGTAAGATTTTTTTCTTTAAGTCTGAAAGTGTTTTCAAAAGGACTATATTGAATTATATGAAATTTTAAAACCACTTAATTTTACTTAACTAGGTGAAGCAGTGTCACATAAGAACATGCTTAGAATTCTACTTCTCATTAGGCCAATAACTATTCAATTTCTTTTCAATTGTAAAGTTGAAATAACATCAAACAACTTTTATATTTAGGTATTAGTATATAATCATAAAGCATATTAAAATCTACCTATTTGAATCGTGTACTTTGATCTGAAGAAATTGTATATGATAACAAAAGGCATTTTCAAAATATTTTGGATAGCTCATCCCATTTTAATGTGAAATCTGTAAACACAAATTTTCAAAAGTGTATCCTATCATTTATCAGCGTAAATAATATTGGGAATGTGAAGAAATGCATAATTGTTTACATTATTTTATATGAAGCCTTTCACCTGGCTGTCCTCACTTGATTTAAGTCAATCCTAAAATAAATTTTTTCACTCCCTGCTCCCACATTTATCTACAAATTATTGTGTGCCCAAGAGAATCTTTGAAAGAAGATTCACGTATCTATCCATCATGAGTGCCTGAGTTTCAGAGGGTATTAGAGAAGTCTGGAAATTCTCTGGGTTTGCCTCCTGATTTTTTTTGTAATCCTGAAAATAATATGTGCTTTGATTTTCTTCTTTCTTTACTCGATAGCAAATGGAGTGAATATTAAGAACGAAAATGTCATCTTGACACTCCCCTGCTGAGACTTGTCCTGTCATCTCCTTACCTTCAGGATAGAATCCATACTCCCTGAAGTGGCTTTTGCTGTCCTTTAAAAGCTCATCTGCTCATTTTCATCTCCTGCCACTTTTGGCCCCAGAAGCACTCAGCTCTTTGTAAACAGAATTTCCTTTTGCTCCTGTCTGGAGCTCTCTATACAACTCCCTATCTTCCATTTCTCTGTCTTTCTCCTCTTAATTCTTTAGGGCAAGTCTTAAATGCCATTTTTCCAAGAATGATAATAAAAGGCATTTTCAAAAAAAATTGGGGAGTGCCTAGGTAGCTTAGTTGGTTAAGCGTCTGACTCTTGGTCTCGGCTCAGGTCATGATTTCACGGTTTGTGAGTTCAAGCCCCGCATCAGCCTCTGCGCTGAGGGTGCAGAGCCTGCTTGGGATTCTGTCTCTCCTTCTCTCTACCCATCCCCCATTTGTCCTCCCTCCCTCCCTCCCTCCCTCCCTCCCTCTCTCTCTCTCTCTCTTTATTTATAAAATTAAACTTTTTTGAACAGCTTTTAAATTTTATGGATTATAAAACTGGGGAATAGATGCCTTTCATGTGCTTTGACAACATTTTTTTTACCTGTTACATCATCATACATACTATATAATATTGCTATTACCTTTTCATTATTTTCCACCAGATTATAAACTGAGAAAAGGGGCATGTCTCTCTTATCTACATATTTATACCTTTCATAAATTATACTATCGAGCACCTAATAGCTTTTCAAGGAAGATTTTCCATATTTTTATATTTAAAGTCCCGGGGCGCCTGGGTGGCGCAGTCGGTTAAGCGGCCGACTTCAGCCAGGTCACGATTTCGCGGTCCGTGAGTCCGAGCCCCGCGTCGGGCTCTGGGCTGATGGCTCCGAGCCTGGAGCCTGTTTCCGATTCTGTGTCTCCCTCTCTCTCTGCCCCTCGCCCGTTCATGCTCTGTCTCTCTCTGTCCCAAAAAATAAATAAACGTTGAAAAAAAAATAAAGTCTTTTTTAGGTTTTTATTTATTTATTTATTTATTTTGAGAGTGAGAGAACACAAGTGGGGGAGGGGCAGAGAGGGAGAGAGAGAATCCCAAACAGGCTCTGCACTGTCAGTGCAGAACCCGATGCAAGGCTCAAACTCACGAACTGTGGAATCATGACCTGAGCCAAAATCCAGAGTTGGATGCTTAACTGACTGAGCCACTCAGGCTCCCCCCATATTTTTATAATTAAAGAGCTCCAAAAATTACAAAAGAACAGAAATGTATTTAAGATTTAAGAAAGATTTGTTCCTAGAGATATTATCAATAGATACAATATCACCTTTCTTTATTTGAAATTTACCATTGTCTTTAATCAACACAGGATAATGAGCACTATGAATTTTCCCTTTCATTTCATTCATAATATTTGGTTTATTGCTTGCCTTTCAATAGAAATTCTGTTGGGGAACAACTGAGGTAGTACTAAGGAGAAAGGCTGGGGAGAGAAGCTTTGCTTTATACTTTGAGCTTTAATCATACACTTGCTTTAGGACCACTGACATGCTTCTGATTCTCCATCTTCATTCCTTCATTTATGAAATGAATTTGACCTCTATGCACTCAAGATTGATTCACATTCCTTTCCCCTGCTCTTTCTCTCTTTCAATATCTTTCTCTTTGTGTGATTATTTTCCTTAATCTATAAATAGTCTCATATTTTTCCATTATGAAAGAAAACTAGGGGCGCCTGGGTGGCTCAGTTGGTTAAGCATCTGACTTCAGCTCAGATCATGATCTTGCGGTTTGTGAGTTCAAGCCCCGCATCAGGCTCTGTGCTGACAGCTCAGAGTCTGGAGCCTGCTTCGGATTCTGTGTCTTCTTCTCTTTCTGTCCCTCCCCTGCTCTCTCTCTCTCTCTCTCTCTCTCTCAAAAATACATAATAAACATTACATTTTTTTTAAAAAATAAAAGAAAACTTGTCTCTACACTATTTCTTCTTTAATTATTATCACCTTTTTTTAATTAATTTGGGTTTTTTTTTAGTTTTTAGTTTTAGTTTTAGTTTTTAGTTTTTAGGATTTTTTTAGTTTTTAGTTTTTTTAGTTTTAGTTTTTTAGGTGTTTTTTTTTTTTTTTTTTTATTTTTTAGTTTCTCTTAAATTCCTGTTAGTTAACATATAGTGTAATGTTGGTTTCAGGAGTAGAATTCAGTGATTCATCACTTACATGCAACACCCAGTGCCCATCCCAACAGTTGCCCTCCTTAATGCCCATCACCCATCCAGCCCATCCCCCTGCTCACCTCCCCTCCAGCAACCCTCAGTGTGTTCTATGTATCAACTATTATCACCTTTATTGTCCATGATTGCTAAACTTCTTAATTTATGGCAATCCATTTATAGCTCTTCTTTTGGGCTAAAACCTCTGCCACAGAGATCACACTTGACTTCTGGTCAAGGAAAATCAGTTTTTTTTTTTTAACGTTTTTTTTTTTTTTAATGTATTATTTTTTGGGACAGAGAGAGACAGAGCATGAACGGGGGAGGGGCAGAGAGAGAGGGAGACACAGAATCGGAAACAGGCTCCAGGCTCTGAGCCATCAGCCCAGAGCCTGATGCGGGGCTCGAACTCACGGACCGCGAGATCGTGACCTGGCTGAAGTCGGACACTTAACCGACTGCGCCACCCAGGCGCCCCGAAAATCAGTTATTTTACTGAGGTATCTGCCTCACAATTCCTGTAGTGTTTTGCGATGTCAGTCTGCCTTCTTAACACTCTTCACTGTTTATTTTATACCATTCTGTATTCCTCATTTCCCTGCCATTTCTTGATTTTGATTATTACTTATCTGGTTCTTTTATTCCTCTAACCTTCTGATGTCTCTTCAGGTTTATATCTTCCAAAGTATCCTTATGTCTTTACGACGTCTCACTTGGCAGTTTCTTGGCTTCAAACTGCCATCTAGGTACAAATGCCAGCTGCACACTTTTCCTCAAGACATGTGTTGTCTCAGCCCCTCATTCTCGACTGCTATACACCTGCACTTTGACAATCTGCTAACAACTCAAGCTCAATATATTCTTTTCATATATTTTCTTTGTTCTGTTTTTCATTACTGCTAGTAGTCACTTTTATGCCTTTTTAAAAAATCCTTTTAACTTATATTTCATCTTACTGCCCTAAGAGTAGTTTTCAGTAGGAGGTTGTGACTTCCTTAATATGAAAGAGAAAATTAAAAATCAGAGAACATAATTGAGATACAGGTACAATGCTGTGGAAAATAGTTCTGCAGTAAGGAAAACAACAGGTGTGGGACTTCCAGAATGGTAGAGCAAGGAGTTTCATAAATCAGTTTCTCCTTAAAAACAATAAAACACTGGCACAGGTTGTCAGAATGAAAATTTTCAGGCCTTGAAATTGAACAAAAGCTTAAAATAATCTGAGGAATATTTGCTCAAGAAAAACTTGTAATCTTGGTAAGAGCAGAGTGATTTGTGGTATTTTTATTTGGCCTCTTTCTATCCCCCTCTCCTCAGCTCCTCAATCTTGCAACCATAGTAGCTATGAAAACTTGCAGCCTTGCAAACAAAGGAAGAGGCAGACTGAGTATGGATCTCCTTATAATTCCCATCCTCAGGACATTGTCACAATTTGCCATTCCTTGCAGCCCCCTCTTTAGCAATTCCCCACTAGCGGAGTGTTGCCATTACCTGACTTGTCTCAAATCTTGCTCTGTTGGAAAGGCCCTATCTTCAGGATATTTGCCAAAAAAATATTCAGCATTACTATTTGACACTATAGTTGCCTGAGGCTGCAAAAACAGCTGTGCCCAGCAAGAGTTTGGCCAACAACTTGAAAGGAAGATCTGAAGAGTGAGAGGTCCTTACGGGATTTTAAAAGCTCTGAAGTATCGCTGGGGAACAAGCAGGCCACATGCATGGGTAGCATTGTGCAGTTGACCAGAGAAGTCCTGAGAGGGTGCCAGGTCTTTTGTCTCCACAGACATAGAGGCACTATGGGAGCTGGAAGTGAAGGCTGAGGCAGAGTTGTCAGATCCCTGAGTGCTGAAAATGTGCCATAACACATATGCAACGCTCCTCAACAAAGGGTAGACAATTTACATTCTCAAGCGTGTAAGGAAACCTGGGACAAACTATTGCTGGCCACTAAGCTAACTCAGCAGGGACTTAAGTGAACACACGCTCTAGTGAATGCAGAATATACAGGATTGGTCCAGAAAAGTCACTAAACCAGCAAAGAACAAACAAGAAAAAACAGCAACAAAAAAAAACCATTGGGAGTTAATGATCTGATTCCAAAAATGGCTCTTTTGGCTTATCTAAAAGGCACATTTTTCCACAGCAAAAATTATGAGACAAAGAAACAGGAAATTATGGCCCCTACACAGGAAAATAAGCAGTCACTAAAAGCTGTCTCAGTAGGGGCCCACATGTAGGACTACTAGACAAAGACTTTAAACAAGCCTTTGTAAATATGTTTAATGAGCTAAAAGAACTATTTTCTGAGGAGTTAATGAAAAGTTCCAAAAAACAGATAATAGCAATAATATAGAGATTATTTTAAAACTCTGGACTTGAAAGTACAATAGAAAAGAGGAATCATTCATTCTAGGGACTCAGCATATTTTCTAATTTCATTGGGATTTCTTTTTTGGCACATTGGTTATTTAGGACTCTTGTTTAAAAATTATTTTTATTTTATTTTATTATTATTATTTTTGAGAGAAGAAGAGAGCATGAACAGAGGGAGAGAGAGAGAATCCTAAGCAGGCTCCACACTCAGTACAGAGCCTGACAGGGGCTCGACCCCACGATCCTGGGATCTTGACCAGGATGGTCATGAGTCAAGAGTCAGCTGCTCACCCAACTGAGCCACCCAAGCACCCCTATTTAAGGGTTTCCCAATTTTCTTTCCATTTTTTATTTCAAATTTAATTCAATTGTTCTCAAAAGAAAATGTACTAGATATAATTCCAGCCCTTTTAAATTTATTGAGGCTCCTTTTATATCCCAAGGCATGCTCTATCCTGGAGAATATTCCGTGGGTACTTGAGACATACTAAAGGGCATCCATGAAAATCCCACAACTAGCATCATACTTAATAGTAAAACAATGAACGATTTTCCCCTGTGGTCAAGAACAAGTCAAGGATTTCTACTCTTGCCATTTCTGTTTAACATTATACTGAAGATATTAGCCAGTGTAGTTAGTTTAGGAACAAGAGACAAAAGGCATTTACATTGTAAAGGAAGAAATCAGACAATCTCTATAGATTTCATGATCTTATAAATAGAAAATTCTAAGGAATCCATGAAGTATATTATCAAAACTAATAAATGAATTCAGAATATTTGTAGGATACAATGTCAATATACAAAAATCAATCATTTGTAGCAATGAACAATTCAAAATGAAATTAATAATCAAATGATTGATTTTTGTCAAACTTGTTCCTAAGCATTTTTTTTTGATGCAATTGCAAATGATTATTTGCATCAAAAAAAATAAATAAATAAAATGCTTAGGAACAAGTTTAACAAAAGAAGAGCAAGACTTGTCCATTGAAAACTGCAAAATATCATTGAAGGAAATTAAATTCCAAATACATAGAAAGGCATTCCATGCTCATGGATCAGGAGGCTTAATATTGTTATGATGGCTTTGATATCCAAATTGATACATAGATTCAACACAATATCTATCAGAATCACAACTGACTTTTTTTTTTGCAGAATTTGACAAGATAATTGTAAAGCTTATATAGAAATGCAAGGGACACAGAACAGCCAAGGCAATCTTGTGAAATAAAAAGAAAAGTGGACAATTCATACTTCCTGATTTTAAAACTTATTGTAAACTCCTAACTACAAAACTATGATATTAAAGAAAATTTGGTACTGGCATAAGGTAGACATATAGATGAATGGAATGCAATAGAAGGTCTAGAAATAAACCCTTATAATAATGGTCAATCAGTCTTTAACAAGGATGCCAAGAGAATCATTGAGACAGAATAGCCTTTTTTAAAAAATGGTACTGAGACAACTATATTGTCAAACACAAAAGGATGAACTTGGACCCCTAACTCATATCATATGCAGAAGTAAACTCCAAATGGATTGTAGACCCAAATTTAATAACTAAAACTATAAAAACAGAATAAAACATAAGAGTAAGTCATCAGGAATTTGGGTTAGGCAATTATTTTTTAGATACGACTAAAAGCAGATGTGACAAAGCAATAAATATAAATAAACAAATTGAACTTCCAAGATAAAATGTGCGTCAAAGGATACCTTGAAAGAAGTGAAAAAACAACCCACAGAATGAGAGAAAATGTCCATATGCCATATATTGGACTCTACAACAAAATGAGAAGTAACATTTCTTTTAAAATGTGCAAGGAGTTTAAATAGAGAGTTCCCAGTGAGCGATGAAGCACGTGAAAAGATGCTCACTATAGTAGCCATTAGAGACATGCAAATCAAAATCACAATCAGATACCACTTCACACTTACGAGAACGGCTATAATCAGGATGGCAGATAGTAAAAACTTTGCAAGATGTAGAACAGTAGGAGCCATGATGCCTTGTTGGTGAAAAAGAAAAGGGTGCAGTCATTTTGGAAAAGTTTTGGAAAAAATGAACAAATCAGGAGACTATAGATGCTGGAGAGGATGTGGAGAAACGGGAACCCTCTTGCACTGTTGGTGGGAATGCAAACTGGTGCAGCCACTCTGGAAAACAGTGTGGAGGTCCTCAGAAAATTAAAAATAGACCTACCCTATGACCCAGCAATAGCACTGCTAGGAATTTACCCAAGGGATACAGGAGTACTGATGCATAGGGGCACTTGTACCCCAATGTTTATAGCGGCACTCTCAACAATAGCCAAATTGTGGAAAGAGCCTAAATGTCCATCAACTGATGAATGGATAAAGAAATTGTGGTTTATATACACAATAGAGTACTACGTGGCAATGAGAAAGAATGAAATCTGGCCCTTTGTAGCAACGTGGATGGAACTGGAGAGTGTGATGCTAAGTGAAATAAGCCATACAGAGAAAGACAGAAACCATATGTTTTCACTCTTATGTGGATCCTGAGAAACTTAACAGAAACCCATGGGGAAGGGGAAGAAAAAAAAAAAAAAAAAGACGTTAGAGTGGGAGAGAGCCAAAGCATAAGAGACTCTTCAAAACTGAGAACAAACTGAGGGTTGATGGGGGGTGGGAGGGAGGGGAGGGTGGGTGATGGGTATTGAGGAGGGCACCTTTTGGGATGAGCACTGGGTGTTGTATGGAAACCAATTTGACAATAAATTTCATATATTGAAAAAAAAATTAAAAAATAAATAAATAAAAAATAAAAAAGAAATAAAAAAAAAAGAAAAAAGAAAAGTTTTGGAAAGCTGTAATTCCAAAGATTAAACACTGAGTTACCATACGCTCCAGCAGTTCCACTCCCAGTTAGATGTATGTCCATTACAAATGAAAACATCTGCGTCCGCTTAACAGCTTGTACATGTTTTCATCACAGCATTGTTCATAATAGACAAAAGTGGAGGCAGCCTAAATTTCCATCAACTTATGCATGGGTACACAAAATGTGGCATATCACACAATTTAGTATCATTTGTCAGTGAAAGGAAATGATATACTGATACCTACCACAATATAGATGAACCTTGAAAACATGCTACGTGAAAAAAGCTTATCACAAAAGACCACATATTATTTCCTTTCTATGAATTGTTCAGAACAGGCAAATCTATAGACACAAAGTAAATTAGTGTTTGCCTAGGCAATGAGGGGTAGTGAGATGTACCACTCAGTGATCTGAAAGTTGGATTAAACAGAGTTATGGTCAGAATGCTGTTTAAATAGTCTTTGTTTGCTGTATTAATATTGATGTAAAATTCATTGAAATGGTTCATCTTTTGTCCATCAAAATGCATAAGAAAATTATGCAAGGCCTATAAAAGATATTCAGGTTGTCTAAACATCAGTGGTAACATCAGTAGCAACAGAAAATAAGTATTGTCTTTTTTTTTTCTAAGAATCATTTTCTTTGTTCTCCTTTTTCACAGGCCTCTCCTTAGATTTTTTCTTTTACTTTATGTAGTATTTTTCTGGTTTGCTTTTTATTTAAAGGTGAACAGTTTTGGAGCACCTGGGTGTCTCAGTCGATTAAGTGTCTGACTCTTGATTTTGGCTCAGAGCTCCTCATTGGGCTCCCCACTAACAGTGTGGAGCCTGCTTCAGATTCTCTGCCTCCCTCTCTCTCTGCCCTAGCTCACTCCTTCTCTCTCTCTCTCTCTCTCAAAATAAATAAACTTAAAAATAAAATACTTAATAAAGGTGAACAGTTTTAATGGAAGTATTTACATTTTCAGTTTTTTCTATGCTTTAGTTATACGAATTTCATGTAAATACTGACTTTATGTAATTCTTTGAACTCTCTTTTCTAGGTATCTTTAGATCTTCCAATGGTGTGGGGAAATCCAGTCATCACCATAGAGCCTGATAGCACAGTTCCATATATTCTACACGTTATGCCTTGGAAACGTGGTATATTCAAAGGTAACAAAACCATTAGTAAAACATTATTAGCCACTAGATTAGGACAGATATATGATGAGAACAATGAAAAAATATGCTTTACATTTCCCGTTTCTAATAAGTGACCCAGATGGAAGTTTAGTTTTCCATTTCAGTCATTAGCTTTCTGAATAATCAGAGCTTTGGGACATGCATTTTACATCTAATGCTATACTCTCTTGGCCATTTATTTGAATTTATTTATTGGACAAATTTCTAGAAGTAGATATATTTAGTTAAGGGTATTTAATTTTAAAATTGTGATGAAGGGCACCTGGGTGGCTTAGTCGGTTGAGCATCCAACTCTTGATTTCAGCTCAGGTCATGATCTCACAGTCATGAGATCCAGCCCCACATCCAACTCCATGCTGAGCATGGAGCCTGCTTGGGATTCTCTCCCTCCCTCCCTCTCTCTTCCCCTTCCCCACTCGCATGTACTCTCGCCCTGTCTCTCTCAAAATAAATAAATAAACATTTAAAAATAAATAAATAAATAAATATGGGACACCTGGGTGGTTCAGTCGGTTGAGCGTCGGACTTCGGCTCAGGTCTCAGTCTGTGGGTTCAGTCTGGAACTTCGCAATGTCCCAGTCTGTGAGTTCAAGCCCCGCATCTGGCTCTATGCTGACAGCTCAGAGCCTGGAGCCTGCTTTGGATTCTGTGTCTCCCTCTCTCTTTCTGCCCCTCCCCCGCTCAAGCTGTATCTCTCTCTGTCAAAAAGAAATAAACATTAAAAATTAATTAATTAATTAATTAATTAATTAAATAAAATGTGATAAATACTTTTAAATATGTCTACTACTTTATGAACCAGTCAACATCTTACGAGAATGTCTGTTTATAGGAATAGGTCTTATAAAAACAAGCATAGGCACTTAATTGATATATGAAAAAATAGGTTAAAGTCTTTGGTGTGTGAAGTTTTCTCCCTTTGTCTCTAATAAAGCATTCATTTATGCAAATTATCCCAATGATCCCTGAACAGAATTGGTTGCATGGGAATGGTGGTGAAGGGTATTCCTATAAGCTTTTGAAGGGAGGAGGGTGCGTGAGAAGCATAGAATAAAAAAAAAAAAAAAGGGTAGAAGAGTAATAGGAAAGACCTGAAAGACTGTAATTCATTTTTTTTATGTTTATTTATTTTTGAGAGAGAGAGAGAAAGAGAGGGAAGGGAAGGGGCTGAGAGAAAGAGGGAAACACAGAATATGAAGCAGGCTCCAGGCTCCACGCTGTTAGCACAGAGTCCTGATGCAGGGTTCAAACTCATGAACCGCAAAATCATGATCTCAGCCGAAGTCACATGCTTAACTGACTGAGCCACCCAGGTGCCCCAGGACTGTAATTCATTAAGGGAATAAGTTGTTCTATTTGGGAGGGATTTAAATGTCCCACAGCTGTTGGATCCTGCCAAGGAAATCATTATAGCGTAGGTAAATGGATATACTTTAGAAGTATAGTAAGTATACACCTAGTAGCAAACCTGTGCTCCTTGGAAGAACTAGTGTCTCATCCCTGCTCCCCTCAGCAAAGAATGTTTTAGGAAAGGGTCTACACCTAGTATGCTGATGCTATTAATAAGGAGAAGGGAAACTTCAGAATGGCAAACATACTGATCCAGTCAATACCACTGTCATAGGATGTGCTGTAAAGCAAGAGTCAGCATGCACACACCTTCCCCCCACCCCCTGTCTGCTTCTAGTTGCCTTCACCTCCCATGTCACCACAGTCATAGTTATTATCATCTTCTGAAATCTTCCCATCACTTTTCACACGTTTGGCTTTACAAAGCCAATTAATAATTCTCTGTATGATAGATTTTAGGCTATTGTGAATCTCTTCCTAGCTTTACAATAAAGTATCATATTTTGTCATTTTTTTATGTAATTCACAAGATTTGAATCGATTTTAAGAAATCTAAATTTCCGTTCTTATTTTGATCATCAAATGACAGCTCTCTTACTGGTGGATTTCACTTAGTTTTAGAAAGTTAACTAGTCTTTGTAAAGGGCAGCGAATCATTCAGATTTGCCATTATTAGTTTTGATAAACATATTAAATCTCATTTCCTGTTCTACAAAAGGCAGAGAGTTCTGCAGTGTATGAGAAAGTACATATGAGGAACCTCACACTCAGCATTGTTGTATTAGAAATGTTTATCACTCCCTTAAACAGAACAAAGCCCCTCTTCTATGAATCAGACTCTTAAAGTTATGGAAATGGAGCTCCAAATCACTAAGTAATCATATTTAATATGTCTTTCCTTTGGATAGTCATTTTTTGTTCATCTTGGCAGCCTTTCTGAGACCATAAAATTTCCATACATATTTTAACTGAACAGATCAGGACTCATTTAACATGCTGGTTTGAAGGAATTTGGGGAAGTTAAAGGCAACTCAGGGTACATCGTTCAGTGAGGATGAATTAGTAAATGTTGCTGGCTACACAAGATATTTTGCCAGCTTCATAATTTTGAAAAATATTTGCAAGACACTATCATGATTGCTCTTTGCAGGGCGGTCCCTTAGGGTTGAATCAATGTTGACATTATGATTGGAAGAAGCAAAGCCTGTAAAGAAGGGCTAGCCCATTTTTGTTGATATTATTGTTAGAAAAGTTATCCAGCATTTGAAACAGTGGAAATTGCTTCTGAACAACCGTTAATCTGACGCAATATAAAAAAAAAAAAAAAAAACAAACTGGACTATAAAATTTTCATACATATATGAAAATATTCCTATTTGTGCTGATTAAAGAAATGTATCCATGTGCATGTATGTATCAGTGGTCTTTAAAAAAAAAAAAAAAAAAAACAGGGGCACCTGGGTGGCTCAGTCGGTTAGGCATCTGACTTCGGCTCAGGTCATGATCTTGCAGTCCGTGAGTTCGAGCCCCGCGTCGGGCTCTGGGCTGATGGCTCAGAACCCAAAGCCTGTTTCAGATTCTGTGTCTCCCTCTCTCTCTGCCCCTCCCCCGTTCATGCTCTGTCGGTCTCTGTCTCAAAAATAAATAAACGTTAAAAAAAAATAAAAAAAAACACAAAAAACCCTGTGCTCATTTTCAGTTCTGGTCTTAATTATATAACAATTATTTACAAAAGGCCTATAATTTGGGAAGCCTTGATAACTCTAGTAGTTGTGAACAAAGCGGACATTCAACCAATTATGCACTGTTTGTTAAAATATTGTAACAGATGATTTTCCTCATATGTTGACAAATACTCAATTGTTTGAGCTCCACTGTAGTAAAACCCTTGCCACTAGAGCCGCCAGAACTCCTCCCTCAGGCTCCCCAGGACTTCCCAACAAGCCAATGGCAATTAAAGGGTTAACACATGACTCATCAGGGTGCCCCAGGACTTTGATCCCATGTCCTTTCTGATTGGTCAGATTAGAATATAGGTTTGTTAATTATTTCGAGTATTAGACATGGATACATAGATTAGTATCGTGGCTCCTGCCTCCTAGGAATTCGTATCTGGTGGTGGAAATATGTATCTATAAATCATCTCAGTACAAGGTACACTCTGATGTACCAAAAGTTTAAACATGGCATTGGGGAGCATGGTAGCAGGAAATATCAACCCTAACAGTGGGGGTGTGAGAGATCTTTTTAGGGGATAATGGGTTTGATTTGGATCTCAAAGGATAAGCTGGGACTTATTAGCCAATATGGTGGGTAGGGCATTACAGCAGAGGAAACAACCTTCTTGAAAACATAGAGAAGGTACTTCATGTCAATAATGTGTAGAAGGGTGTGTCTGCAGTGTGTGTTTATGGTAGGAAATGCAGGCTGACTACAGTTAGAAATACAGGCAGACTTTGATGGGCAGAGTTTTGTTGTATTTCTTATTGCAGTGGGAGCTGTTGAGGATTTCTGAAGGGCATGAGTCAACAGAGTGTTAAAAAGAAAAATCTAGAGGTAAAATATAAAACAGATGGGAGGGGCAAGAGAGGGCAGTTAGGTCTGAGAGATCCTTTAGGAGCCTTTAGTGATATTCTAGTTGATTAGTTCTCAGTATTTGTGCTTCTTGAGAAAAGAGTTTAATGGCAAGTAGTTTAGATGAGAGTTGATTACAGGAAGCACTCTGAAAGAATGGTAAGGTAAGATGCTGAAGGGACAAAGTCAATAAAAGTAAGCTAGATAAGAGACTACTGCTGAGACCTGGGGAAGCTCCCTGGGAACCTTGGGAGAGAATTGTCATACCAAAGGGCAAGCAAATTGTGGTAATCATCCCTTTACTCTAATCCATCATTGGCTAAAGTTTGCTCTTAGGGCAAATTCCCATGGCAGTGACTCAATCCCCACTGGAAAAGTCATAGGAAACCAGTGCTGTATATGAGAACTGTCTGCAGAGGAGATTTTTGTTGGGCACTGAGAGTATACCACTAAAGTGGGGATCATGTCTTATTGATTGGTAGGTAGAAATTTTGAAAAATGGATGGATTTGGAATTTTCACAGTAGCCTACAGTGAGCTACAGTCATGTTTTCAAGTGTGTGATGTGGAGAATTGAATTTGAATGCCTCTCTGGCAATGGAACAAAAAGTGCAGATTTATCATTTTAAGTGAAAGTTAAGGGCTGACTGACTAGACCAATGATAGTGGATTAAAAAAACAGAGGGGCACTTTTCAGAGAAATAAAAATGGGAAATGATGCTATAACATCTTTGGCTTCCAGAGATTCAAACTCTGAGATGAGAGATTGGCAGGACATTTCTTAGGGTATATATTATGATCAACCCTTGGGAAAGGAAAGGTAAGAAGGTATATTGACCAGGGGGAGAAAGAGGTTGGGCTTCTTGACAGGCCCAGTGAAGGCTTTTAGTCAACTCACTTGGGGCCTTTTAAGCTAGGATGGCCCTTTGGAGTCGTCCCAAGTTAGGGGAAGGAGACTGGGCCTTTATGCTGCTGTGTTGATTGGTCGTTAAAAGTAGACTACATGGGGCGCCTGGGTGGCGCAGTCGGTTAAGCGTCCGACTTCAG